CAAAGTATCCTTGCAGTGCCCAACCACCAAGTATCCCTGCAGTGCCCAACAACCAAGTATCCCTGCAGTGCCCAACCACCAAGTATCCCTGCAGTGCCCAACCACCAAGTATCCCTGCCATGCCCAACCAATGAGTATCCCTGCAATGCTTAACAGTGTGCCCAACCAATGAATATCCCTGCAATGCTTAACGGATGTGCCCAACCGCAAAGTGTCCCTGCAGTGCCCAACCACCAAGTATCCCTGCAGTGCCCAACCACCAAGTATCCCTGCAGTGCCCAACCACCAAGTATCCCTGCCATGCCCAACCAATGAGTATCCCTGCAGTGCCCAACTGCAGAGTATCCCTGCAGAGCCCAACCGAAAAGTATCCCTGCAGTGCCCAAGCGCAGAGTATCCCTGGAGTGCACAACGGCAAAATATCAATATTCTTGCAGCGCATTTGCAGTGCTGCAAGGAAGACAATTGAGAGGGGGCAGGGAAACGTTACACTTCTTGTGCAATAACGGCTTTAGGGTGGGGATGCTCGAAGTAAATAATTACTTTTCCATTTGATCCTCATTTCGGTGTATATCCCCATATACACCTCAACCCTACAGTATCCCTACGTGTCCCTTCATAATCCCAGTGAGAACACCAACCTCAGCGCAGGCACCAGGCGCATGCCCCCTCGCATGTAGGGAAGTTGGCGTCGCACCACCGGCCGGGCGTCGTACTCCTTGTGCCGGAAGGTTGTCCCATCAAAGCCTGGAAGTACCATTTTGTTGTTTGGAAAACACTCCTGCAGGGAGGACATCTGCATCATCTTGGCAATGTCCCTACCATGTCACTCAGGGTTTCTCATGTTGCAAGATGCGGATCTGAGCTGTTGAGGGAGCCATGGTCTGCAGTTCGAGTCTGATTCAATATGAAGTTGGCACTGAAGAGTTCAGTGGTTGGACAATCTCGGGCTGTGTCCATGGCAGATAACCTCCTGGCTGATGTGAAAGTCATGTGCAAAGAAGAGTGCGCTGCCAGCACTGCTGCCTTTGCCCTGCAGCTATACTCCCCCTTACGTAGCTAGAATATGGCTTTGGGTATATTATACTAAGATCCCCATATACCCCAAATTCGATCTACTAAAGGGGGACTATAAGCCAGTCGGATGAGCTTTTACCGGCCCTGGAACATTGATTCCAAAATAGACTTCAGCTGTCTCGGAGGGGTCATGCAAACAACCCCTGAGCCCAAACTCCTATGTCCTAAACCCTAAACCCTTAACCATGACTTCCAGGACCGCCCCTAGAAACCACCGAATCAGCTTGAGCATGCGGACAATCGTCTAGGTTGCCTTTAAAGAGCAAAATTTTAAGTTGTGATATTGTGCGTGTATAGGGTTTATGGCTTAAGTTACCCTATTATAGGTATATCGCAAATAACATTTTTTGGTTCAAGTAACTTTTACCTAAACCCCCAAAGTAGGTAAAATTATGGCCCAAAACCCCAAAATATAGCCCAAAAGGCCATTGTTCTACATACTTTGGGGGTCTGGGTAAGCAGTTCCTTAACAGCACTCCAGCTGTACGAGCTAAGGAGCTGAAGTGGGTACGCGCAGCTTGCAGCCGAATCACGTGCTTCTTGCCAAAGATCCTTGGGTTGTAGGGACTTTAAGAGGGACCCCTACTAGGGACCCTTAATCCCATTAACATATAAAACCCCCTATATAGTCATTATATGCTGAAGATCCTTGGGACTGGGTTGGCACCTAAAACCCTTTGAACAATATTGATATATAGGGCCTCTTATTAAAGCCATTAAGGAAAACATTAAATGTCCCAGGGGCCTACCCAGGGAAGGACTTGGAATTGGAACGTGCAATGGCGAAACCTTTCCTTCAACTTGGTTGCTGTCAAGGAACTTAGATCAAGTAACCAGGCTATGGGTATATAGTAAACAATACTTAGGGATTCCGTTTTATAGTAATTAAGTCAGTTTGAGCTCCTTAACAGCAACCCAAACTATGGGTACAACAATCCTGCATGACCCTAGGTACCCTCAACCCTGGACATGATAGAAGATTTAGGACTGCATTCAGGCACCTAGTTTAGGTGCACCCCCACCCTGTAATAGTGGCTTAATAGGAATATAAGAGGACCCCAATACAGTCCTTGTTATCCCTTATAGTCACTATTGCTGGGTGGCAGGTCCCCCTAACGCCAAATTGACATGCAACTTGGCACCAAAACACATAGGTGGGAACCCGTTTAGGCTGAATGATTTCTTACTTTTCAGGTACTCGGCCCCTTTGGGTTTAAAGTTTCGGGTCTTTTTCAGAGCCCAAGCCCTCCAAAAGCCTGAGCAAGCTAAACCACCCTGGCGCCCCGTGTTTAGGTTGAGTACTGCCCCCACCCCAGTAACAGTCTATATTAGGGGTCCTAGTAAAGGCTATATAAAACCATATTACAACTATTACCCAAATGTTATCCAACTGTTAATGGGGGGGGCATTACCCAAGGTTTAGGGCTTCAGGACACTTCAGGGAGAGTAAGCTACTTATTGAGGGGGAAAAACAGCTTTGTCGGCATCCTCGTCAGAATCATATCAGGGATACTTGGAGAGAAGGAAACTCCCAAATGACTCCATCTAGCCAAAGGTTCACATGGCTAGTATCTCTGCAACATAAAGTTCAGGTGCTCCCAAAAAAAGGGGCAGGGGATAAGTTAAAGTTTAAAGGGCTGCGGGTTTGTACCCCTAGGGTTGTACCCCTGGGTTTTGGGATCCTCTGAAGGGATCCTGGGGGGCTACATTGGCTTACATAAGGGCTATATTAGGGCTATATTGGGGTAATTTTTTAGGGGTACGACCTTAGGGGTACAACCCTGGAACCCTTGATACTTAAGGCTATAGGTGGAGCCCCAAAACCCCAAAACCCTAACATCTTGCCAAAGATTCCCCTGCTCTGGCAACTCGAAATCGACAACCCGGAGCTGTGGCTTCTGCTTCCTCGCAAGCTTAGGAGGATGCGTGGATCTTATCGGCGTACGGTTGAGGTTGTTGGGTTTATAGGGTTGCTCAAGTTTCCCGCAGTTAGGATATATGATTTGCGGGCTATGGGCTTCAGGTTTAGGGCTTAGGGTCTACCCTGGCTGCAAACAGCCTTGGACTCAGGGCGAGTTGGCGCAAAAGGGACATGTCAAAGTTTACAGGGTCCAGGGCTTCATTTGCTGGTTATCTGGGTTGCTGTTAAGGAACTTAAATTAAGATACCATAATGGGTATACATAGTAAATAATAAGGTTTCCATGGGTTTCCCCAATATAGTAACTTAAGTTCCTTAACAGCAACCCAGTTATGAAGGAATGGATGCAGGGATGGACGCCTGAAGCATTCCCGATAGAATCTCATAAGGCCTGAACCTGACACCCTGAAGCCTCCACTGATGTAGTAGGGTGGTGGGGATGTCGCGGAACTCAGAGAACCCAAGCCCTCAACCCTACGATTGTGTAGAAGGAACATCTGCGGGAGGGGGGGGAGTTACTAACTAGAATTCAAGCTTTTTGGGGGCACGTTTCACCATAATCGTACAAGAGTAGCTGGATAATACTAGAGAGAGAATACTAGTAGCAACTATTCAAATTGTACAGTCTTATAAGGGCCTTGAGAAGGGAACGCAACCTCGTTGCTACTCCGAACCCTAAACCCTAAACCCTAAACCCTTCCCCTACTTAACTGACTTTTTTTGTGGCAATCATGCCATCATCCCGTCCCTCTGCAACTTTCCTCTGCCCTGAACGTCCCCAAGCCCTTCATACATTATAGTACAAGGGTAGCAAGAATCCCCTCCCTTTCGTAATTCCTCCCCAGCAATAAATACAATCCCAATGCATAGCTGTACTATCTTGGAAGCACTTCTCATCACGGGGGGCGGGTTACTCGTGGTCGTGGCAGAAGCTCACTACCGAGTAGCCACAAAAAAAAAACAAGTCGGTCACTTTCACCATGACCATGATCCTCGCAAGAAGTTGAAGATGAACTTGCACATGCACGGCTGGATTCTACGGGAAACCTTGACACGAAAAAAACAAAATATAACCCCCATGGGCACACATCTGAGGGCTAGTGTTTTGTTTGTGCTGAGCGTCTGCGGTTGCTTCTCCTCCGCATCGGCCATGATCCAGTTGCTGCTTTGGGCAGATGTGATGGTGGAAGAAACCTAAGCTTGTAGTTCAGAACGGATTTTTGCGCCCAATAAGCATAGAACCCCCAAAAGGCCCAATTCAGACCACTGCCCTTGTAAAGGCGTTTTCATGAGGTTCCACGCTAGCTTGGGGAAGGTTATCCTTTTATCATCCTGAAAAGTGCCTTTATAACCTTTGTGGCATCCCAAGATGACCATCTTCGAACCTCTGCAAAACCTTTTCATGATCCCTACAGGAATGAGGGTTTGGGATGTAGGCTTCAGGGGGGGCAACTAGGACCGGAATGCTACAAGCTGGCCTTTCGCGCGGTTTGAGGTTTCAACTCAATGGGGTCATGTGCGTCATGACCTCCACTTCTTTCACGGCAGCTTCAGAAGGGACACCTAGAACTCACCAAGGACTACAAGTGGGGTGAATCAAGAAAGGCCGCGACGATGCAGAAGTCGTAATAGTAGCAGTGGTTTTTCAACCTCACTTACTAACTACAAGGGAGCTCAGCGGGGGAATGTAAAAAGAAGGTCCATGGCTTCCTGAATACTATGGACCCGAACAGTAGCATGTAGGATGCTCCAGACCAAACCTAGGTAAACATATCACAGAAACGCCAGCCTAACTTATAGTAGCAGTTGTAAGAGACTATGATTTGGGTTCCGCCCCACCCTGTAAGTGTCTATACTTGACGTCATGTCAAAGGCCATATATAACGATCTTATAAATATAGCCCATCTGTTACAAAGTGGGGGCAGGACCCAAACTATGGGGCACTACCTGGTTATAACTCAGCGTTTCTTCCCTCCCACTAAAGCAACCATGTTTGACAAGCTACTAGACACCAAGCTACAACCAAATCCGGGCTTCAAGGACTTGGCTGGGCTTGGTGCTTCTAACAACCCACTAAGAAAGCAAAGAAACTTTCTAAATAGGATTTGGGGATAACTTTGAACAAGCAATTACTCAGTATGATGCAACTCATCCCGCCATCTGCGTATGTACCAAGACCAAAAACGCAATTAACCATCACTACCTAAACAATGTTGACAGACCCGGGGATACTAAGCGGTTGGCAAATGAATGATCTATGTAATGAAAGGATTTTGGTAACCCCAACCCCCAATATTAGGACCCTATGACTATCATATGATGGTTATAGGGTCCTAATTTTGGGGGTTGGGGTTACCAAAATCCCTTTTTTACTATGGAGGATAGCCTTCTTCTGCCAAGATCCTTGCCACATAATTCCAGGGTCCCTCAAAGCAACAGAGCAGCTTAGAACTTACTGGTTGTTAGTAGGGAATAAGGGAATAGAATCCCTATATAATCCCTATCTAATTTATTCCCTTATTCCGTACTAACCGTAAATCTTATATAATCCGTATAGAATATATTCCCTTATTCCCTACTAACCCCCAGTGAGTCCGAGCCCCTTTTGGTTTGAATAAGCATTCCGCGTAGGGGTACATAGGACCTTGTTAAAAAGTAACGTAAGGACCCCCCTAACCCATAAACCCACCCTGAACTATAGACCCTAAATTCCTAGAACCAAAGCCCTAAATTCCCAAACCCTTAACACTAAACGGGCCAGAAACAGACGAGAAGGCTTGGCACAAGCCTCGCACTGTGCTGCCCGAAAGTGCAAAGGTGCCACCGCTGAGACATGCTAGCCTTGAGAATGCAGGGAAGGTTAGGGTCTAGGGTTTAGTTAACTGGGGATATAAGGTTCTATAAGGGGAGTTAAGGTTTAGGGTTTGTCAAAACTGGTGGTGCTTCTTTGGGGTCCCTACCATAATGATTATAAGATATTGGTGTGTATATTGGGGTGCCCCCAGTTATCGAAACTACCCTTTGAGGGTTTCTCAAAATGGGGGCCCTTGAGGGCCCTTTGTTTTTTTGGGGGGGCGCATCGGGTTTAGGGTTTGGAGGGAGGGGGGCCTGCGAACTTCCTTCGCAGGGCGAGCAAGACAGAGGGTCCAGGATAGCTGCCGTACCAGATGACATGAGTACCAACAATGGAGCATCACATAGGAGTTATAATGGCCCGAAAATAAGATGCCTTTAAACGGGAATGACCCAACCTAGACGCCCTAAAACCTAATCCCTAAACCCTAATTCCCTAAATCCTCATCCCTACTCCCTAAAACCGAAATTCCTAAAACCAAATGCCTAAATCTCCGACTAAGTTGCTGCTGAAGCGGTGCAAAGCTTTCCACAGTTGTACCGAAGCCGATACCATGCACATGCAACTTGCAGTGCCGTCCATGGAGGAAGGTCTCCTGGTAACCCAGAGGTTGAGGGTTTAGGGGTTTAGGGGTCTAGGGTTTAGGGGCTTAGAGTTTAAGCGTTTAGGGGTTTCAGGTGGTTTAGGGTTCATGGGTTTAGGGACTTTACTGGGTACATGTAAGAATCATCCCGAAGTGCCTTGTAATTTAGGGCTGACCTGGGCGCCAGAAGTAGGTAAAACATGATAACGCTAAACCCTAAACCCTACAGAACGGCCGTACGTAGCTAAACTCATGGCTCAAAAGCCCTAAAAGGAGCCACAAAAAGCCGTTATTCTACATAGTAGTTTCCATTATCCCTATATAAGCCCATTATATACCCTAATATACTATAATACTTTCCATTTTCTTTTCCATTATCCCCATAGAACCCCCATATAGCCCCAATATATTGATTTTTGGGATTTGGGTAGGGTTGAGGGTTGATGCCCCTGAGCTGATGAAGATGGGGCCGTCAAAAAGCCGATCCCCCATGGCCAAAAGCAATATAGTCCAGCTTGCAGGATCCCACAAAGGGGTTTAGGGTTATCTTGGGGCTATATTGGGATAATGGAAAATGGAACGGAAACCATTATTTAGGGTTCAGCTTTGGGGATTAGGGTTTAGTGCCTGATGAGTTGAAAAAACGTGGCCTCAGCGTTTAGGAGCAACCCAAATCACAAAACCCCCTCAGGAAAAACCTGTGTAAGTATACCCTGGAACCCTAAGCCTTGTGGGCCAACGAACCCTCGGCTCCTTGGCCTCAAGCCGTCCTAGGCTGTACTTCAACATCCCTTATCCTCAAACACTGCAATACTCCTGAAACATTGGAACCGGCTTGCTTAAAGCTCCTGGAAGAAATTCAGCGCCGCCTTCGTATCTGCAGGCCGGCCATCAGAGAGCCTCAGGCATATCCCTAAACCCTAAACCATATCCCCAATACCTGGACCCAATGGAACCCACCTTCTTGAGGTGCTGTCCTCTGCTTTTGGAGTATGTAGAGTCTAGGGGCTAAGTAGAGTTTGGGGGTTGAAGTATAAGCCCAGTTTGCAAAATGGCTTTTGTAGGGTCCAGGTGCTCAACACTTCACAAGTGGTTCTGGCTCTACAGTTGAGGGGGGGTTGACAGATGAATTCTCCCCCCAACAATTGAGGAACGTGAACGCCCGTCCGATACAGACTACTGTCCGGCTCCCAACGGGTTTCCATGTCAGTTTGCTGGGGCTCTTTGGGGTTCCAAGGCTCCACATACAGCAACAGCTACCTTGGTCCCTCAAGGCTATGAATAGTACCTACTTGGGCTACTAAACCCTAAACCCTAAATCCAAACCCTAAACACCAAACCATAAACCCCAAATCCTTTGGGCTACTTGGCAACCTGGGGAAAGAAGACTGCCATGTTGACCAACATCCCAACATACCAATCTCTCATCCCTGAGGACTGACCTATAATCCCTAAGCCTTGTGAACAATGGTGTAGCGTTTGGGGGTTTAGGGTTTAGAAGGGTTTAGGGTATAGTGCGTCGAGTGTGAATAACCTCCAGGGATATCAGGACTCTTTGGTAAAACATATTGATGATTACTTAAGCTTTTGAGTCAAGCAGCAGCACCAACTCCCCAGGAAGGTCTGGGAATTCATCCAACAAGGTTGAAGCTTCCTGCGATACAGTTGATTTGTGTTTTCTTGAGGGTTTGGGGCTTTTTGTTCGGAGAACACGCTGAGAATCATGCCCTCCCTCAAGATGTCTCTGAGCAGAATGTGCGTGCATGTATATAGTCCAACAAGATGTATACGCAAACATGCTCAAACGTAGGCGTATCAACTTTTGGCATTCTAGGCTTGTAGTGGGATACGTCTGTGTGTACGTAAGCCTTCCTGCGTCTCAAGTTGATGGCAGCCCTGGCTCTTGTGGACAGCGAAGTCTAGTAGAGTATAGTAGGGTATATATTGCGGTTCTATAGGGATAATGCAAAAGAAAATGGAAACTACTATATGGGGTTTATAGAGGGCTTATATCAGTCTGCTCGAAAAAAAGATCGCTTTGTGTACTGCGGATCTTTTTCTAACGGAGAGGTGGATCGGAAGAAGGGTCTTACCAGTTGCGGGGGCTTTGCAAGCTGGGTTGGGTAGCTGGACATACCAATGGCCCCTTGCTGATCAAGCAGTGTATGTAAGTGGACCTGAGATTTGAACATGCTCAAAACATGCTGTGACATGTTCCTAGCCTTTTGATGGAAAAACCATCAAGCATGGATGAGCTTTTGTTGAGTTCGAGGCTGAGAGTAGCAACAGCGGCAGCAATGATTGCCAGCTGTCTTACTGGCAACTACTTGGACATGGCAGCTGTAGTAACTAGACACAATGAACCCAAAACCCTCAACCCTCAAACCGGCTAAACAAGTAGCCCGAAAGCTCCGTCCTCCCCTTACTACGGTGGGGATGCTTCCCTACTAACCCCAAAACCCTCAACCTCAAACCCCACTTCCAATAACACACGCAAATTCCCTGCTAAGTCCCTGGGGGTTTGTAGGGAATATGGGAAGATAGTATGTAGGGATGATATAACATATAGAGCTTTTTATTCCCTTATTCCCCACTAAGAACCAATAAGCTGAGCACTCTGCGCCGGGTCCTTGAGGCCCTGCAGGTAGAAGGTGCCATTTGCCGCCCGGTCACCCAGTCCAAAGCTTTCAGCAAACTCGTTGGCCAGTTGCTTCTTGGAAATTGTTGCGGCCGTCCTTAAAGCAGATCCATAAGAGGATCTAGCATTGGGTTATATAGCGGTATATAAGGGGGATACAGGGGTTATATAGGGATAATGGAAAAGAAAATGGAAACTACTATAGTATACTGCAAAAGGGACAAGAAATTCAATCTGAAGGGTTCCTAGAAATCAGCCAGGAACAGTCTTTGGTACCATATTGGAGGGGTCCTACTTTCTAGATCCTCCCATGGGTCTAGAAACTTGCTCTTGGTTGGCAGTAAATTGAACAGTGGACAAGACATGGCCCTAAACCCTAAACCCTAAACCCTAAACCGCAAACCCGGACATGTGGGATGTTTGGGTCCCAGGGCGGTGAGTAGGGAAAGAGAAAAGAGGCTACAGGGAGTCTAAGGGTGGATTTCATATGGGCAGGTTTAGGGTTTAGGGTGGATTTCATATGGGCATATGGGCTATAGTCTAGATAGACTCCCAATATCCCCTTTAATAACCCCTAGCTAACCCCCTTTTAGGAATCTAGACTGTAGCTTATATAGGTTACCATGCTGATCCGTGGCTCCATTCCCAACCCTAAACCCTAAATAGCACATTCCATCTTCCATTGTCCCAATATAATCTCTATATTATCCCTATAACCCTTACATAAAACCTTGTATTACCCACCAGTAAGTCTTGCAAACTGTTGCGGCTGTCCTTACTCGGAGGTTCAGGCCTAGATACTCTCGCCAGAAATCAATGCTTCTATAACGATTAGGGTTTAGGAGTTGGGGTACAGGGCTCCGGGTATAGGGCTTAGGGTCTAAAACCCATGATTCACGGTAAAAGCACCAAAGACATGACCATCACACTGACAGCGGCACGTTGCAACATACCTAAAAATGTCCAGACCACTTAACAAGGGTTCAACAAATGCTGCATCCAATAATCTCCCAAACCCTAAGCCCTAAACTATACCCAACGTACTAGTGGTCTCAATTTGGGAGGGTTGTCTATTTTCGATTTTTCAGGGGGATCCGGATAAAGACGGCAAGAACAAAAATGCTGCTGTTTGAGCGGAAAAATTTAATTCTCTCGTAACTCTGCATGTCTAGGGCCCAGAAGCCTGTGGTCTACATCCAGAATCCCCAAACCTAGACGCTCAACTCTTTCCAGTTATAGGGTAGGCCAAGAGGCCAGAATTTCTTACAGCAGTGCCTTTCAGCGTGCAGCCGAGCGCACAAGCACTGTGGGAGGATAATAAAGGCGCCTAAATAATTATTCATATCACTTTATTGTTTCGATTTCCGGAGTGACCCCTAGACCAAAAAAAACCTAAACCCTAAAACCCTCAACCTTAAACCCTTAACCCTAAAACCCTAAACCCTACACAACCCTAAACCCTGAAGACTTAAAGTTGAGCTCTACCTCCCTTGCACCGTCTTCGGAACATGGCAACTCACGGACCGTAAGCCCTAAACTTTTAACCTTCAACCCTAAACCCAAAATTCTAAACCCTAAATCCCTAAACCTTAAACCCTTGAACCCTAAAACCCTAAACCCCGCACTCTGAACCTTAAACCCTGAAACCCTAAACCCTGAACCTCAAATCCCTAAGCTGCAAACCGCTTGGGGCCTGGGATCCCTTTTGAACATGTAGCTCCTCAAAGTTGTTTAGGGTTCAGGGTTATAGGGTTTAGGGCTTAGGGGTTTAGGGTTTAGGGCTTAGGGGTTTAGGGCTTAGGGGTTAAGGGGTTTAGGATTTAGGGTTTAGGGTTTAGGGTTCCAGTATACCGGTGGGTTCCAGAATTTGGAGTCATGTATTGGGAGTCGCTATCTTTCAGGGCTATATCCCTCTGTTGATTGGGAATGCCCATGTATACTTGGGTTAGGACCAGGACTCAAGCTGTAGAATCTCGGATCTCCAACGTGTACGCGTAACACCTTTATTAGCCAGACATCCAACAGGACCTACACGACGCCAGGAAAGGCGCCATAAGCCCTCAAACTCTTTAATCCTGAAGCCGCGGTGGTAGCTTCCATTTTCTTTTCCATTCTCCCATTATAACCCCAATATAACCCCTATACTCCCTAGATAATCCTTATAACCCCTATAGTTTCCATTTTCTTTTCCATTATCCCATTATAACCCCGATATACTATAGCAGTTTCCATTTGATTTCCCATTTTCCCTATATATTCCCGTACAAGGACAGCCAAGAGGCTCATGAAAAGCAACGGCAGAGAAAAAATCTTGAGGCCGTGCTTTTGCCTGGCAGATAGACAGCGAAGTGGGGCTAAGGATTCGGGCGAAAGATATGGCGTGTGTCATTTCTCTTGCAAATTCTGTGTTCATTCTTATCACTACTATATTCCTCGTACCCTTACTATGTCCATCTAGCTGCTAGCTAACCCTAGAAGCCCAGGTACCCATATAGTAGGTTCTTGGGTCATAGATAGTATTTGTTGATTTAGGGACCCAAGGACAAGAACCCAATATATAGGTACCTGGGCTTCTATGGTAAGATAAGCACTGCTACGCTCCTTGCAGCACTGACAGATCCAAGTCTGAGCGTGAGATCTTGATCCTATCTGCCTTGAGAAATGTGATACGTAGGAGGACCCCCCACCCTGTAATAGTGGTATAATAGGAATATATTAGGACCCTCATATAACCCATATTGTCCCTTATAATCACTATTACTGGGTGGGGGTCCACCTAATGTGATACGTAGTTCGGTCCTAAGCAGTCGCCCATACCCTAAGACTCCAAATGGCCCAATGTAGGTCATATCTATAGACTTTGGGGCCCAATGTAGGCATCATTTATGGACATGGAGCCCTAGGGATACCCAACAGCTTGCCTAAGTTACAACGCTGCATGTGTGCCCCCATATTCCCCTCATGCACAGGCCCGAGATCCAGCTTACGGTAGCTCAGAAGCATTTGTATTCTTTGCACGGCACAGCCATAGACAACCCAAAGCGAAGGCTTAACACAAACAACAAATATTGCTAAGCTTAAGCTCACCAAGCCTGAAGCTTTAGCGCAAAACAAAGATTATACAACAAGGAACCTAATAGCGGTACTATCAGGAGTAGTAATCCTAGTAGTAATCGCCACAGCAATTCCAATACATACTAGCAGAAACCATAACAGCTACAACAAGAGTACGCCTAAACCCCAAACTGTAAACCCTAAACCCCAAAGGCCTAAACCCCAACACCCTAAACCTTTGCTTCCTTGTGCCCAAGATGCATGCTCTCGGGCAAACTTCACTGCACAAAGCTCGGCGGCCTCTAGCCTCCGACAGCTTCTTGTTTGGGGTTTGAGGTTTGAGGTTTCAGGGTGATTGGGTTAGGGTTTGGAGTTTAAGGGTTCAAGGCCTAGGGTTTGGAGTTTAAAGGTTCAGCATATTGGACTTGGGGTTTGGGGTCTAGGTGCAGTACCCTCAGAAAAACAGGACACCTCATTCAAAATAACGGTAGCTTTTGGGGCCCAAGCCGTAGATGGTTATCCTAAGCTCTTAGCCATGAAGCGAACCTTGAACCCTAAACTGCGACCTTCCCCTAAGGCTCCACATGGCCCAATGTAGGTCATATTCATAGACTTTGGGGCCCAATGTAGGTATTATTTATAGACATGGAGCCCTAGGGTTCTGTAGAATCATAGTATGTGTTGCAGATGATTCGATTCATCTGTCAAACGTCTAGTGAGTTAGGGTTTAGGCAAAAACGGTGTGGAAGCTACCTGGAGCTAGTCCTCTATGCCTACCTGACACGTTCAGGATCAAGGGCTGTTCCCAAGGCTGAACTTTAGGTTTGCATAGGTTGCTACAGCATCCAGTAAAAGGTATGGTTACTTCTGGGCAGGTAGGCTAGAGCGGACATGGGTCTCGGCTGACGACTTGCGTGCCTAGGTCTGAGATTCGATGATGAGCTGGAATTACATAGCCCTAGACTGCAGATCCTGAAGCCTACATCCTTCACCCTGAAGCCCGAAATTATTACGTCCATACACAATCTCTATAACCCCTTTACGACGTCCAGTGAGCTCTACACCTCTACAACCTAAACCGTGAACCCCTCTACCCACCTTGTGAGGCTTGCACATTGGTTACCCAGCTCTCTTCTTGTCTCAGCATCCGCCTCGACATCCTCACATGAGTTCGGGCTGCCTATGTTCCAGGTTTAGGTTGTTGGAAGGAGGTTAGCAGAGTTTGGGGTTTTGACTGTTGATAGCAGAGACTCAGCGGGGCAAGCACAGGGAAACTTACAACATTAAAGCTGGTTTTGTGAAGGTTTAGAGGATGCTTGTTTCAGGGTTGGCGTCATTCGCTGCAACAATTGCATTCACGCTTTTTTGCAACGAAAGCACCTGCAGGTTTCATCCAGCCGTTTTGCAAGATCCCTAGACAGGAGCATGTCAGCAATTACAGTAGTTGTCGCGCAGTCAGGAATTCTGGAAACTCGTGTATCCTACCGACATCGTGTAAACTTGGTACCGCTCAGAGCGTTCATGGAAGCCGAACGGTAGGGCGGCCCTACCCTAAACCCTACACCCAAAACCCAAAACCCTAAATAGTACTTTCTATTTTATTTTGCATTATCCCAATATGACCCCTTTAAAATCCCTATATAAGCCTTATACTAAACCCTAAACGCCTGAACCCTGAGGTCTGGTTTCTGCTGTTCACTCTTTGTGCTCTCCTCTCAAGCCTAAGGTTTCTACTTCAAACGCGAACCCCAAACGCTTCGTCCGAAAAGGGTTTAGGGTTTATAGGGTTTAGGAAAACCCACACCCCAAAACCCTTGCTCTGACCTGTGAAGGCTCACCGGAAGCCTTGAACCATGTGATCTTAGAAACCTCATTTGTACAGCACGGGGATGTTCCAGGATTTCCGGAATGATTGTCCTGATGTTGCGGGGAGGGACCCTTACATGGCAGACTCTGCTTAGATGAGCTGTTCTAGGAACTAGAAACTGGGCAACCGCGCTGGGCAAGAACATCTGTTTGCCGGACTTGAGGATCATGAGTCAAATCTGTCATGTCCTGCTGGCGCATACTTCCGGAAGCATCGAGAACAAGCACGATGTGCCGGGGCCTGACACCGCTGCACCACACAGGTATCAAACCCATCCATCGACCTCCCTGAACATCTGGACTCTATATTATAATAGGGTATATATAGGGGATGTATAGGGATATATTGGGATAATGGAAAATAAAATGAAAACTACTATATTACAGGGTTGGATAGGGAATCTAGGGGATATATAGGGACATATTGGGATAATGGAAAAGAAAATGGAAACTCCCAAAAAATATATACACCCTACACCCCCAGACACCTTAGCACCAAACCCCTAAAGCTCAAAGCCCAAATCCTAGACCTCGAAGTTCATCGCCCGGGGGCCAGGGTTGAACTGTGATGCTTAGCACCAGAATCACGGAATACTTCCACCGAACGAGGGTCATTAGATCATCCGCCCTGAACCCTTTTCAGAAAGGTCAGGTACTCCGCAAGAAGTGTAAGTTGTGGTTGCCACAAAATCATCGTGATAGACAGGTACTTACAAGCACAAATGCCAACGCAGCGACAGCAGAAAAACTTCAAAATTGACGACAGTAAGAAAACACCAACAACCTAGACTCTCCACCTGCAATTTGTTGGGACCTAAGTACCCAATGTCCACGGCCATATATCCCCAATTAAGGGTACTAGGAGGGCCCTGGAACATGGCAAAAGTTCCTGGGCTCATGCCATAGCCTCCAATTCTCAGAGCCTCAATGACTCAACCTCTGAAGCGCTGAGCCCAAAAACCCAGAGCCCTAAACCCAACACACACTAAACCTTCAGGGTTTAGGGTCCAGGGGTTAGGGTATGATAATAACAACAATACAAATAATAATTGACATTCTCTGTTCCATTGTTACTTTACAATCACTATAACCCTACATTTTACAACATCTGCATAGGCCCTATATGACCCCTATATACCCAGCCTTAGCACCCTAGACCCTACACCCTAAAGAATCGTAGTTTCCATTTTCTTCTACAATGTTACTATTTACCCCCTATATAGCCCCCATAGAACTAGATAGCCAATATAACCAGCTCTGTTTTTCAGCGTCCCATCTTGGCCTGCTAATGTCTGCCTTCTGCGTCGCACCAGTGGCGGCTTTGCCCAGAAGTGCTGGAAGCTCCCCTGGTTTTGGGTATATGATTTAGAGGTTTAGGGGGTAGGGTTTACTGTCTTGAGCCCTCTGAGAAATATTCATACAGAGGGCCCTCATGAAACTAATACGGGAAATATCTAAAAATCTTAAAGGGCCCAACAATTTCTCAGTAGAGTTTGGGATTCACAGGATCTAGGGTGCTTTTTGCTCAGGGATTCACTGAGTTTAGGGTTGAGCGAGTTCTCCACCCTCCACCAAACTAAAGAAACTAAACCCCAAACCCCTAAACCCCTAAACCCTGAACCAATAGTCTATGCCGCCTTTTTCGCTTCCGGGATCCATGGTATAGTTTGGGAGACCCCAGCTCTGAATCCCAAACCCTATATGAGCTATACTCTCAAGTCCTTGAAAGGATTCTATAGGGGATTTTATATGGGACTATTATAGGGGTTATGAAGGGGGATACTAGGAGTTAAGACTATAGCTCACATAACTCCTTGAAGGAGTTTAGACTATAGCTCACGGTAGTTTGGGGGAGGGTAGGGTTCAGTCCTTGCGGTCGAGAGCGGGAGGGGAGGGTCTGTCTTGACCATAGCTGAACCTAGTTCTCCCATCCTCGGTGTAGAGTTCAGGCCCAACCTAAGTACACTACTATTAGGGGCCATATACCCCTATTTGAAGGTACAAGAAGGGTCCTGGAAAAACACAGGTGAACAGATGCAGGCGCCCCTGCAGGGTTCGTGCTTTTCAGGCGATGTAGTAGGTTGTCAAAATCACGGTCCCTTTCTTGGCCCCCACTAGGGCCTCCGACAAAGGATTATCATCTTGACAACCATAGTCTAAACCCCTTAGAAGGGGGTTCTATAGGGGATTATGTAAGGGAGTACTATAGGGGTCATTAAGGGGGATACTTGGAGTTCACACGTAAGAAAGAAGTAAAACTGCTTCAAAGGCTCCAACAACGTCGGCATCCGCCCAGGTTTCTTCGTCACTGGCCTCGGCGTCCTTCTCATCCTCGGCAAAAGCGTGGACTTGCGTCCAAACCAGTTTAGGGTTCAGGGTTAGGGCCATGCCACCGCAGGACGCATAAGCTTAAACCCCGTAACCCTAGATCTGACCCCCACGTTGCCGATTCCTTATAGGCCGGCTTAAGCCAATTCAGGCCATTCAGGGAGAAGTTGGGGGGCGTTAATATGGTTGGTTGGAGGGAACCCATGATTCAGCCCAAAACCCCTAACCCTGACCCCCAAACCCAAACACACTAAGCCCAGGGCCTCTGCAGTTGCCAGCTTGCTCAGCAGCTTGACAGCCTCATGTGAATCACAGGGGTTTATCGGATATTACTTGGTTATAGTATACTAGTTAATACTCTATTGCACTATATTGACTTTATATTAGATTGTCCTATTTTGTATCAGATTACTATAGTGTACTACTTTGTATTATATTGTACAATAATGAACTATATTATAGCTTGGGTTTTGCACTACCTAGCAGACCCTTGAGCTGCCCAGGCAATGATCGGCCAAAGAATCCAGATCCGTATTGTTGCACAAGCATTGAGCAGTGATGCCTAGAGGGATAAGTTTCGAATCTGAAAAGCCTAACACCATCTAACACCCCATCGGACACGACTTTCAACGTCTCATACTATTCGCAAACATGCATGAACCTGTAGATCAGAAATGCTGGATTGTCGGCAGCAGGGTGCATCCCCGACTAAGGGTACTAGAAGGGTCTTGCTACGATTGGGAATTTTCCGAAGTTCCGACACCTGCAGTCTCCACAAAAAGGAAGTCATTGAGATTGCTGCAACACCCAAGACTCTTCCCTTCCACTGCACACGATCCAACATGTTTATCAATACTAGGTGGTGTGCGTGTGTGCGCGTGTTAGCTTAGTTTTTTGGACACGCAATCATGACAGAAGCTTGGCACGTAGTGTTTCCTAGAATACCCCACGTAATGGAAATGGCTGTGTATGCATAGTAGAGACAATATCAGAATAACCGCTAACCAGTACAGTAGTAACAAAAAGCAGAAGACAGCAGAATTACTTTTTTGGCTTCCCTTGGCGGTTACCAGGAACTAGTGGACAAAAAGACTGAAGCACGTTCCCAAGCGCTACCCTCCGTGAAACTACCAAAAAAACAATAATATGTTATGCCCCTAAAAGCCTTTTTGGGGATTCGCTGCTCATTTGTGGGAGGGTAAACCGCCAAAACCTGCACCGTAACCACCATTATCTCTAAGAGTAGCTAGATTTAACCGCCCGCTCCCCCTTAAGCAACTTAAACCCTATGCCCTAAACCCTGAATCTGGGGTATTTCCAGGGTCCAAGTACCCCATAAGTAGATACTTGGCATTTGGGCAATAGTAATTCTAGGACAGGTTTTGGGGAAGTACATGTACTTGGACCCTTATAGGGGTTCTGTGGACCCCAATACGTAAAATAATAGCCCCAAATCCCCAAATTATAGTCCAAAAGCCCATTATTCTACATACTGTTGGGGTTAAGGTAGCCAGAAACCCTAAACCCTGAAGCCTAAACCCCAAACCCTAGCCCCTAAACCCTAAACCCTAAACCCTCTAAGTCCGAGCGCCTCATCGGACTTGCCTCTGTCCAAGGCGTTCGGCTGCGCAGGGGTGCTGCCTTTCAAAGGGCTTCCTTACCCAAAGGGTTCATGTAAGTATATGGGATATACTTCGACTTATTAAAGTAGGTATATGGGAACCCTTTGGGCCCTAAGTATATACCATATACCTACATGGACCCTTTGGGTTAGGATATGGTTTAGGGTTTAGTGTTTAGGGCTTATGGCTGGGCTTACCTTCCCCCAGACTAACATGGAAGCCACATAGATCCCCGTAGAAGAGTAGTCTTTTCAGATCCTTTCTGAGTTTCCATGCTGGTGTGGCCTCTAAACCCTAAGCCGTAAACCCCAAAATGCAGTGTAGGGCCAGAGGTTGGGCTAGGGGTTTCTCAGATGAGCTCACGCACAATAGCAATCCCTTCAATGTATGAAGCATTCACCAGGCCAGTAAAAGCCATAGAAGCCTAAGAACCCCTATTATTGTGTTTCTCGTCGCTGAACCAAGTAGAACTTAAGAGCTATGCTCTTCTTGTAAAACATCCTCTAAAGAAGGATCTAGTCTTGCTATATGTGGGGGGGGGGGTTCCGTAAATAGGGGGCCCCAAAATGAACTCCAAATACTACATTTCGTATGACAGGGACACCCTCCCCAAAAAGGTACCCCTAATTTAGGCTAAGCCCTAAACCCTTAACCCCCATTAACCGAGGTCAGCATCCCTCCCTTGCTCAATCTCTTTCTCCCTATCGCCGTTCTTCACTTGGGAGTTTCCCGAAATTAGGGGTACTTTTTTCAGGCTCCCTGTAATAAGGATTAACGCATTTTGTGAACTATATTGGGGTCCCCCTATTTAGGATACTATCACTTCTGTAGTACAAGACCATTATGCAGAGCCCTAATTTGGAGTGTATAATGCGGATCCAACATTAGGAGTGTATAATGTGGAGCCAGAAGTAGGAGTGTATAATGGCAGGGCTCGGGCAGGGGAGGGGGATGCTTCGCGATAGAAGCTGACGGGGGCCCACCTTTGCGCTTACAATTATTACGACTACCGCTATCAGCAATAAGTACTAGTGGTGTTTGTCTCTAGTATAGCAGTGATAGTAATCACTGTAATTAGTACCTAGGCCCCCGGGATTATCTAAAAGTCAGACCCCCCACCTGCCCATGCTAGTTTTTATATGCTTCCTACGTGAATCTCTATGTCTTTCTCGGGACTTGTTTTTGTCGACCCTATGGGGGTTTACCCACCAAATGTACTCACCTCATGCTAATGTTGAACACCCCATTACCCCTAATATGAGGCATGCCCCGATGTTCCCCAATCTGTGAGGCTTCTTATAAGGAATATTTTGCACTCAGGTGGGGCGTAGCTTTCGCAGTAGTATGAAGGGATTAATCCTCCCCAACAAAACCCAGCATCAACCCAGTTTCCAGTTCATACTCCAGTCTCTTTTCCATTTGATTCTCCATTACTACCCTGAATCCTATAATCCCTACACAGCCCCCTATAACCAGTATACCCAGACCCTTAACCCTAAACCCTAAAACCTACACCCCAAACCATTCGAGCTATAGCCTAAACTCCTAGTATCCCCTTTAATAACCCCTATAGTAGTCCCCGATAGCATCCCCTATATAACCCCCCTTTATGGAGTTTAGACTCTATGGCTCATTTAGCACCTACACCCTAAGCCCTAAACCCTAAACTTTGGGTACTGCCCCCCCCTCAGTAACAGTTGGATAGTAATTATAATATGGTTATATAGCCCTT